AATCTTTTACAATGGAGTACTTTCATTTTTAGAATAGCTACACCGTAAACTTTTGTATATTCAGAGAAGTTTTTACCTCTTGCGAATGCCTCACGTTTTATACTAGAGAGTTCCTTTCTCGTAGTTACCTCCCCTCACCAGGCACAAACGTGGCATATGGAAGATGTTTTGAAGCAAGTCAGTGGGATCACTACAATGATTCTATGTACAGCATAAGCAAAATTCATTTCAACAACGGGCAGCTCAAATGACTTAAGACTAGAACGTATCGGCGTTATCTTGACTTCTTTAGGAAATGAAGGAATTCCATGTTAAATTAGTAGCATAATGAATTTTTGTACTCTTGCAGACAAACTATTACTCATCCCTAAGCTCTTTCAAAACAGAAGCCCTCTCCACTCACCTCCTTCAGGAAGCCATGGGTGGACCCTTTCAGGAACTCCACTCCTCCCCAGCATCCCTCAAAAAGACCACTACTGGCATTTGGAGTGGGACAATTCTGCCATATGTGGGGCTATCCCTCTCACTGCAGGATGCTAAGTACACCCGCCTCTGCCCGCCTGGTCAACCTTCCCAACATCCCTGGAAGGACGATGCCTCCCTCAGTTGAAAAACACCACATAATCCCATCCTTGTCCCCCTAGAAACCCCTATGTACTCAGCAGATGCTAATTTTATGCTGCTCTTGTGGACATACCATTCAGGCCTTTTGACAGTTCTCACCTTCATCATAGAGAGGAAAGCACCTATTCTTCGGCTGACCTCTAATGCACCTATCACATATTGGTAGCTGGCTGGCCACCCATTCAAAATTCATCATGCTATAATTTCAAATGAAGTCTCTCAATTCCTGTCAAAGGCCTTTCAAGCCAGAGTCTTTAATTTGGGTGACCATTTCTTGAACTAGGGCCGTTTTTATACCCTTTTTTTCAGTCTTTAATTTAGTGACTGGTTTTTTCGAGAATCCTACATTACTCATGAGCTTTTTCATGTCCTTTAGGAACAGCATGACTCAGACTGTCTTTGAGGCCACAGATCCCATTACATTTGAGCAGGGCCACCCCATAGCCCTTAGCCACAGTCCAGTACCCTGAAGTGTCACTCAAACCCAGTGTTTGCCACTCCTGGGTTTATTTTATCCCCAAGTGCATAATGCAGGCAAGAGGATTACTTTTCATGCCAAAGCAAAATTTATATTTTTGGATAAAAATGGAATGATGGTGATTTTATTATTTTTATTGTTATAACCATTATTGTCACAATAGCGAACCACTGAGTCCTTGCAAGGCGCCAGGCACCCTAAGTGTTTTACATGCGTTACATTACTTAATGGTTTAGAACACAAGTATTTGTCAGAAACTTTCATTAAAGGTAAAACACATCTGAAGAGTCTGCTGGGAATGAACCAAGTGCTATTAACATGGTAACGTGAATAGCACTCCTTCTGCCTCTTATGAGCTGAAGAGCACATGAGGCCTCTTCCTCACCATGCAAACATGCGGACACCCTGGGGCATGACCCCAGGTGGTCACCCAGATTGAGACATTTAATATGATGGCTGATGTTCTACAAAAGAACTGATGAAGTCGTTGGTGTAAATAACCTGATTATGGTATCCCCTAGATATCAGTCATTGAATCAAAAGAGTAGAGTTAAATGGTTCACGATGATACTGTAAATTATATTTTTTCCTACAAATTTACTATATCTAGTGTCATAGTAAAACTGTTTAGTAAAAAAACAGAATCAAAACTCTTCCTGCCTTTTATGTTGCAGATTAGTTTCATATCTACAGTACTGAATACATTCCACTGGCAATGAGAATAGTCAACGAGGACTCCTTTTAATATGTGCTGCTGTTCTGTTTTTGAAGGTACAGATGCTGACATTTTTCAATAAAAATTCAGTAAGTTATGAACTAGAGGAGAAATATGACCTTTAACAAGACTAACCCCTTCAGTATGGTGTCCTTGTCGAAGGTCCAGGACAGCCCCTGACTGAAGGGCATCCTTTCAATTTGAAATCTACATTGGTCACTAGAATATGAATGTGTTTCTATTATGAGATGAATGTGATTGGTTAAATGGCCTTGATTAGGTATCTTACCTTGGTCTTAAAATTTGTTATCTGTTTTCTTCATTGTATGTGTTTATTAATACCAGTAAAAACAGATTATCACACATCTTCCATAAAATGATTGTGATAGGAATGTCACTTAGTGTGTACGATGATACACCACCTGCAGCAGACATCTTGGAATATTACATCATTTTAAGAGCAGTACAGGGCAGCTGAGTTCAAATCCAACTTGACTGATGTGGGCTCCCATAAAAGCTGTTACCAGTGAAGGCGAAAAAAATAAGAATTTGCTCTACTAAGGGAATAAGAAATGAAGTTACAAAACACTTAAATCACATTAATTCCTTCACAGGCCTCTGTCATGCAAGTGTGTAATTTTAATCTATTCTATTCATTAGGGTGATGCAGTACTATGTAATAATTATACTAATATAAATTTTATTTATAACATATACTTTTTTTGAGAAGAATTTAAACAACATGATCTAAAATGTTTTGAAATACCAACCCAGTGAAAATTCCTTATTTCAATCAAGGGTAATGAAAGAAGGCAATACAAACATGCAAAGGGCATGTCGAATTAGAGGCCAGTCTGAACCCCCAAAGAGCAACTCCCATGGTTGCCTAACTCCCATCAGAACCAAACTCAGCAGTTTACAGGATGATTTTTATAACACTACACTTTACCTCACATGCTGAAGGGCACTCAGCATGGTATACATTGTAAACGCGTACTGTAGTTCCATAGTTACTACATAATAGATAAGCCGTTTTGTTCACCTAAAGTGGTTTTAATGAACAGTATAATTCTGTAAAAAATGAACTCTAATGGAAGATTTATATAAGCCACACAAAAGTGGCCTAATGGACAAGGCCTAGTAATGTTTTTTATAAGGAACAGGATGCACACTATGGGATCTATCACCTTCAAAATGCAGGAAGGTGTATGATTTTAATGTATTTAATATATAATATAAATGTATTTAATAATCTATCCACCTCTGAAGTTCTAAAGAATTAAAAATCAATTAAGTCTAATGATTATAAAATGCTTCATCTAAGTCTTCCTAAGTTCAGATCAAATGTCTAGGCCAGGAAGACTCAACTCACCCTGGTCAAAGTGAGTGTCAGGCTCTTAGGCACGTCTACCCAGTGTGTCTTCATCTCCACCTTGCCCTGTGGGTGCTACTCTAAATCCAAGCCTTTAACATACACTGACTTAGGATCAGGAACAACAGACAAGATTTCGGCAGCCTCAGGGTTTTTCTTTCAATTGTATCTTACAACGGTATAAGTAAAAACTCAACCAAATAAGTGGACTAAAATATAATGCAAGAAAAACGCATTAAAATTTTTTTTAAACAAAAAAGCCAACTTAAGTGAAAGGGTCTAGGGAATTGAAACGTTTTTAGTATTCTTTTTCTTTAGAATTGCAGACTACCTTTCATTTAATTTTTTAGGATACTAATCTGAACTTGGACAAGAGAAAAAGGAAAAATATTTTGTAATAGAATTTGCTTTTTCATGTTTCAATAAGCTCCTAGAAGTTCAGTGAAGAATTCTTACTGCATTTTCTTGGATGTGCCCAAATGTAAGAAATGTTTAGTTACCTCTGCATACCAAACTATAAGAAAGCCCCAGTCCCGCACATGGGAGCAGCTCCTCACCACTACTGAGCTGGCTCAAGTCCCTGAAGAAAACCCTACAGAGAGGAGGGCTCTGTATTTGCACGATCACTCTGGATTCTGAGCAGCGAGCTGCAGAGCTCTCCGCACATCATCAGACTGCCCAGGGCCCTGGGCTTCAGCGAGGGAAGACACCTCACACTGGAAGGCCCATCTCTTATCTAATAGGAGGAAGCAACTGAGGCTGAGAAAGAGCAGGAGAATGCCCAGTCCCCACCAGGGACCATGGCAGAGACCAGGTCAGAAGTGCCACCTGCCGACCCAACAGGGTGAGGGGTCTATCCACTCCCTGCCTTACTACCCTGTTGCAAAAAAAACCCAAGGTTAGCATCTCCTCATAAATATTCTAAAAACAGGACTTATGTCGACAATGAGAACAAGAGAATCACAGGGAAGAAAATAAACTAGATATCAAAACTTGAAAATAAGCTCCTTGGGCAGTCACTAAAGTTGGGAATCCAAAATTCCCTCTGGACAAAAAAGTGTCCTACCTGCATTCTGAGGCTGTTGTTTGTTTTGTTTTTAGTAATGGCCAAGACTTTAGATTTGATGATAAAGTCTAGATGTCTTGACACAATGATGGTAATAGCCTCAAATAGCTATTATTTTGCTAGCATATATTTTACAAGTCCAGAAAATAGGAGTCATATTACCATGGTAGTTCTGACTCACCTCAACACTCAAGTATCTAAGAATATGCCAGAATTTAAAGGATCAAAGCCATGGACCCAAAGCTATGGAACACATAAGGAGATTCCTCCGTGAGCCTAGGTCCAAAAGCCACAGGATTCCGGTATAGCCACCCTTCATTCCACCTAGGGTGAGTGCACAATGACCGGAGTCAGCTCAAATGACACAGTGTGTCGTATGAGGACCAAAGAGGACTTAGTTTCATGTGAAATATTACAATGTGAGGACTAAATAGAACACAACATTTTTAAGACAGATTTCAAGAACAATTAAATGCATCAATACTAAAGTATATCCACGTACACTTATACATACACTGTGTGCATGTGTGTGTATTTATATTTGAAGTCCTCACATAGACTAAAATAGTGATCTTTTCCACTTCATGACTTTTACATAGTTTAGAGACCCTAAAACCCACCTACATTTGTGGAGAACACCAATGTTATGCTTGTTAAGTCTGACTTTTACTCACACTTCAACGTGGGTAACTAAGTGGCCTTCATATGAATGCCATGGTTATCATTATCATTATTATTATTTTACCTCATTCTCAGTTAAGGATGCAGAAGGAGATGAACTTTTGCTAAACGCAAGAGTTGAAGACGCTGCTGCAGAAGCCCGATTTCGCTTCTTCAGTGGTTTGCATGCATCAGACAGATGTTTCGTTGCTGTAAAATAATTTTGGTTTATAAAGTAAAGTTTGAAATCTTAAACTCTCAATCTCTTCACTGCTTTAAAATTACTCCTCTAGCAAATGAAGTTCTAAAGATGAATCTCCTGGGAAGCTTTGTCATACTAAGGGCTTAGCTCTTTGTGGTGGAAAAATCTGAATGTAAACAAAGTCAGACAAACTGTATAATGAACTCCAATGTCCCCCTGCCTGGCCCCCAAAACCATGAACCTAGGGCCAACACAGCTCCATCCACACCTGGTTCCCTGTCCCCCTGCTGGGCTCTTCTGTAGCAAATCCCAAACCTATCATTTCACCCATAAAAATTTCAGTACATATCTCTAAAACATAAGGTTTTAAATATAACCATAATACTATTATCATACTTAAAAGTAACAATCCCTTTATATCATCAAATATACACTCAGTGTTCAAATTGCTTACAAATGTCTTGTTTTTTTAAGTCTGTTTAATTGATTTTTAAAAACCAGTACAGCACCTCAATGAAAACAGAGCTATTTGTAATCTTCACTTACTCTTTCTCCCCTGAACTTTGTTTCCTTTCTCATTAAGAGTTGGAGATGGTAAGCTTTCTTTAATAAACTACTAGACAGATACATCAAATAGGTAATTAATGAAAAGGTAAAAGGTAGCCTGACTCCCCTCTTCACTGTTTTGACAGTTATTTTTCACAAACATTTTGAGCTAGTTCCTTCAACATGTGAAATAGAAATAACCAGTCGTTACTTTTACTTTTAGCTAATATACACAAAGAATCAGATACTGAAAAGTGGTGGAATTTATAGCAACAACTGGCACCATCAAGTAAGAAACCTGGACAGTTCTGATTTAAATCACTTCTCTAGTATAATTTTTTTTTTAAATAATTTTATTTATTTATTTTTTCCCCCAAAGCCCCAGCAGATAGTTGTATGTCATAGTTGCACGTCCTTCTAGTTGCTGTATGTGGGACGCGGCCTCAGCATGGCTGGAGAAGCAGTGCGTCGGTGTGCGCCCGGGATCCAAACCTGGGCCGCCAGCAGCAGAGCGCACTCACTTAACCACTAAGCCATGGGGCCGGCCCTCTAGTATAATTTTAAACTGAAAACAATAAAGCCAAGTAGAAATCAGTAGAAAAGTATCTTTAATAAAATTTAGCTGAATCATCAAAACAACTCATAATTAAGCAGTTTATTTTTTAATTGCATGAGCACCTCCTTTCCACCTGATCCTTTAGGTTCTAGCGTAACTGTCGATTCCTCTGAGGGCTCTCTGGATCCCAGCCCAGCCTCCTCGTTACACTCTCGGCCCCACCGGAGAGAGACTCTGTGAGGACAGGCCCAGGCTTTCCTGTTCACCCCCAAGCCCAGCCCAGGGCACCTGGAAGGAGCTGACAAGGAAGGAGCACAGACCACATTACCTGCCTGGCTCTTCAACGAAGAGGCTGCCTCTATGGCCTTGCAAGAGCTTGTTCGGGCCGTTTTGTCAGTGATCGTCTCTCTCTGTTATTAAAAAAAAAAGAAAAAGGAGAACGAAGGAAAAAGGAAAAAAAATCTCTTGATGTGAACTAACACAGGTTACTGAAAAGTTGTGCGACAGAAACTTCTTCCTTTGGAAATGTGTCCCACACAGGTCATCAGCGGCTGCCTGACCTTACCTGTCTTCCACAATTGCAACCCATTCTCCCCTGCCCACTCTGGACCCTGCTCTAACATCTGTTGGGAGGGAGGGCTAGCAGGGCCATGCCAAACCTGACTTAACAAGTCACAGTGCTGAAATACCTCAAATGAGTAACATTCAATATGCTACCCAAACTTTCCTCTGAATTCCAAGTGGAGTGTGAATTAGAGGAAACTAATCCTTCTACTCTAGAGCTTGCCCAGTTAACTTAAGGTGGAGCCTCATTAAGTCAATGCCAACATCACCATTCTAACTCACTATACTAAGGATTTCCAATTCTGAGACAAGCTCCAGGTAAACCTCTCAAAGACCATCAATAAAGCACATTTCACAACTGAGAAAAATAGCAAAAAAAAGAGAAGGGATCATGAACATTTTGTCTAGTGCTCAGAATTTGAATAATGTAGTTGAAAATAATCTCTCTCAATACCACTGCGGCAGTACTACCTCATTCAGTCTGCCACCCCAGGAGGCCAAGTTCCGGCACTCAAACCCCATGCCCGCACCTGCCCAGGACAGGGCAGGTGGAACAGGATTCCAGTGGGGGCAATCTGTGGACAAGGTAACAGATGCATAGCACCTGGAATAATACCTGGCACATCAAAGTGCTCAAGGCATATTAGGAATTATACACGATATGGCTTACTCAGGTTTATAAAACCCAAACCAGAGCAGATACCACTACTCTTTTTATCACGTGCTATTTCCTGAGCTGTTAATAAAACATTTTTACCCAGCCACTTAATGTGAACTTTGATGTTTCAAGTGTCTATGGCCACACATTTTTTTTTAGGTAAATCGTCTATACAAGTATTTCAAAGCAACCAATGTCAGTATGATTACCAGTAAAGGATTGCTTTAATAGTAGGAGGCCAGAGGAGATATTGAGGATGTGCTTCCAGATAACTGCAAACATTAGTGACTCAAAGTGAATTTTACCTAGCTCACTGCTAGACACTTGATCACTAACAACTTCACCTGACAGGTGCCCTAGAAGAATGCTTTGTTGGTCAGGAAAATGGGGCAGGGCCAGGCCTGCTCCCCTCAACTGCAAATATGGCTTTGAGGAAATAAGACAGATAATATGGTGGCCACATATTTACACTTTAGCGATATGTGAGATTTATTTTCCATTCTTCAAAATAATAAAAAGAGCAACTACTTAATTCAGATCAGTAAAAGACAGTATGAAGCTTTACTCAAAATCATAAATCAGAGTACAACTACTCTGTCAGAACTATTAAATAAATATAAACTCAAACATAAGATACAAAGTCTGTGTAAACTCTCAGTTCATGAAGAAGTTAACTGGATGTCTGAGACGGTTTAAAGAAGTGGAATTGCATCATCATTAAACACACTAGAAAGGGCTCACATCCTCTACATGCATGAGTGCCGCATGCTAGACAGAACAATCCACTGTTCCTTTGGATATACGGACCTTGGTCAGTTTCACTCTCCTCCAGGTACCAGGCAAACTCGGCCCCTTGACGCATGCTGGAATATGCTAGAACTCTAAAGGCTCTGGGACTGCCTTTATATAAACAGGCCTACACAGCCTTCTTAGTATTCCCATTATGTAAACAATAACGTGAATTACTAATAAATTGAATGAGTGCATAAAATCTATTTTCAATGCCTTTAATGGATTTTTTTTTAACTTTTCACTAAAGTATAGCCTATATCTCTAATAGATTTTGATGCTTTCATGACAACTCATTATTTACACATTGAATAATGAGCCCTAGAGACAAGAGTCTTTTTTAGCATACAATTTTGTTGAATCTAAACATCAAGTATTAATCAAAGTGTTTGGATGTTTTTCTTTGACAGCCACGTATCAGAAGTTTGTGTTCAAGTCTCTGGCAGCTAAGAACTGGCTCTCTTCAGTGGCCTTCGCAAAGGGGTTCCAGAGAAAAGCCAGCACTACTACATCTAGAACAATACCCACTGAGCACCACCCGGGGAGAACCGAGAAGAGTGCCTCCTGCATCCTGTCTGCATCCATTAGGGAAACACGGCCATTAGAGTCACGTAGCACATGTCCCTCCAGCCAGGCAAACCCGGGCGCAATTACCTTCCGAAGACCCTGCTTGTCGGTCCTGAGTCTTTTCCTGGGTGCATCCTCAACTTCAACGTCCTCTGTAGGGTCCTGTGTCCTCTTTGTGTGGTTTCTTTTTTTCCCATTTAAGTTACCTTGGAATGGGGATGGGGGAAACTTACATGAAAAACACTCTACAAGCCGCCCTCCAAAGCACTGAGCACCTACCCAGGGCATTCAATGTGCAAATCCAGCCCATGATGGTTTTCCTGTAATCCTGTTGATTTCCAGGGCATAGGTATTACAGATCAAATCTCTCTGCATTTTGCAAACTGCAGGGGACCACTTCCTATAACATCAAATACTGGAGAATCTTTATTTAATCTAGAGGTTATTATGTTGGTATTTTTCATAATTATATTTTAATGTATAATAGCACTAAATTTAAATATGACCAGTATTTTTCAAAAATCCTTTACTTACTAATATTCAAAGACTAGTGGAATTTAAGTTGAACTTTAAAAAAACATACAACTTGCTACTTTTTAGACATTTCCTTAAAGAAGCATCTTAAGTAGAAATACTACATTTGTATCTCCAAATTAAGGGCTTTCTACATGTTTGCTTCACTGTGCCATGTATTAGGTGTTCCCAGGAATATCAACTAATCCAAGACTTAAGGTGTCCATACAGCACTGACCTAGAAAAATAAGACGTAAGATAAGAGTGCAAATTCTAGAGAGATGATTAATTTGAACATGCCAATGTTTATTTTGAATACAAATCCAGTATTTCCATTTGCATAACTGCTTTACAGAGAGGTTCAGGGTTTATTCCTGGACTGTTCATCAAATACCCTGTGGGAGGACAGTGTCATCCTCAAACCTTACTACCTGGTAGGACAGAGCACACTGGCCAGGAGTGCTCAGGTCCATGGTGCCCAGCAGTGCCTCGGGAGGAGGTGCAGGTCACCCAGCCCAGGGCTGACATGTGAGGCCTTGCCTCAGGTCGAGGCCTGATATTACTAGAGAAGAGCCAAGCAGCCAGAGCACTGGCCCTCACCAGCTGCCAGTCTCAAACTGACATGAGCCAGCCCAGCAAGCCGCCTTCACTAAGCTCCATTCCTGGCCACAGCACCTCGGGCTAGCCGCAAGAGAATACCAGGAAGAAGCCTGCAGAGCAGTGGGCTGTGAGACCTGCTCAGCCACTGCCCGAGTATAACCACTACAGGGCACAGCCAGTCTGACTTGCCAGAACCTCCTCAATCAGGTTTGCTCCTCATCAGCATGTGTTCACTAAGCTACAGCCACCTGCCGGCAGCAACTGTCACCCAGTGCCTCGTCTTCCCACAGGTGAAGTGAAGTCATGGTCCTTTACATAAGGACCTCCCCCGTACCAGAAGGAGACAATAGTCGTTTCTTACAGAAATAAGCAATATGGGCATCTGTTTGAATTCCCAACAGAAATAAGCAATATGGACATCTGTTTGAATTCCTAATACTGAGACGACGGGACAGCTGACACCACAGACATGGCCCATCATCTTGGTTGTAAGCACTGGGGACCCTGAAAGGGAGAGTTAAAGGGCATCCAGGAACAAGAACACACCTGACACCACTGAGGGTAGAAATCGACCCCTATCCTCCTCCTGTCTACTAAGTACTCAGTGATAGTCCAAAATGACAAAATGTGACAATCAAATTCACACTTACTCTTCAAAGGTAAGTTGAATCTGGCTTCAGGAAAACCTTTCTCATTCTGAAATACGCCAGTCATTGAAAAGGGACACTTTTCTAGATTTAGTGTACTAATGAAGAGTCAGGTGAACTCTTGCCTTTTAAAGAATATACACAAATCCCAAACATCCTCACTCTTCTAAATCACAGTATTTGCAACAAACACTGATGAAATTGAATAAAACTCAGTATTAATATAATTAGATAGTTGATGGAGATCTAAGAAAGCCCTAAAATCAAGATGGAAACATCTGTGAACAAAAGAGAAAGGTTATATAGTACGTGCGCAATTACAGTCAAATATACACAGCGCTGATCTAGAAGCACGAGCTAGTACACACAAGGCAAATTGCAATTACTTCTGGGTCTCGGTCTCCTTTTAGGTGAGTCTTGAAACACTTTACGTTTGGCCTCTCCAAAACTCTTCAATGATGAACCTTGAGAGATACAGAATTTTTTTGTATTTTAAATTGATACCCAAATATGTCACACTTATTTTTACATTAAAAATGTCAGTTTTCCACAACATGTGTGTCCAAGCACGCACAGACGACAAATCTGACTGTTGTTACATGTTTTCTCCAAAGCTTACAATGTTAAGTCTCCCTTCTCTTGCCATTACCCAAAGCAAAGTAGCACTTTTTGTTTTTTTAACTGAAGGCTAAGAAGAACCAGAAGACACTCACATTTAAGGTCAGTCCACAGTCACCCTCCTCACCCTGCCAGCTCTCAAGAAAACAGGCCAGGAATGGCGCCCCCAGGTCCAGAGCCTCCGGCCCACAAAGGTGAAGCCCTCGTGAGGTGCAGGCGTAGCCCCAGCCAGGAGAGCAACCTCACTGGGGAACACAGGCCTGAAGTCTGACCCTACCATGTCACGTAAGCCTGGAGTCCTAGAGACCACCTGGGCTCCCTTCCTTCTGGCATCCTCCCTCACACCACCCCATTGACTGCAGAGGCTAGAGCGCCCACTCCATTTGGGCAGAAGAGCGAGGGACCCGCAGGCCAGACAGAGGATCACATGGAACAGCTCTCATGACAACGAGTGAGGAAATGCAGACAGCAGAGGTTGCTTTATTGTGACCACACGCACTCTGGTTGCTGGCACAAGCACCACAGGTCAGAGCTGGGGAGAGCGGACACGCTTCCCTACAGTCCCAAGACCGGAGCTCAGTCTGCTACACTACACACATCACACCTAAGCAGAGTACACTAGCACAGCTTTACGTTTACCAGAGTCTTCTTCAGACTGGGAAGAGGCCACTAGGGCAAACTTTGTGTTATAGCGCGCTTTCTGTTTCTCATTGAGCATGTTCCACTGGGAGCCAAGCAACTCTTCGATCTCCTCACTCGAGGCGTCTGGGTGCTCAGCAACAACCTGTGAACACAGAAAATGGTGAGGTAAGAAGGCCAAATACCTAGAACTCAAAATCCAATGCACGGCGCTCTAGAACTCAGCATGTGGCATTTTTATTTCCACATCATGGAACTATGTCCTGTAAAAGCTTCAAAGAAAAATAATGCTTAAGTGATGCATAACTCACTGAAAACTCATAAATGAACATAGCGCTGGTAAAAACAACTCAACTGTATTTATGCAAATGCAGGAAATGATAAATGGTAAGAGAAAAAAATACACTTTTCCAAAATCACTAAATTATCAGTAAGCTACAATTTTCTAAGCATCCTTGAAAAATCAGTAGTAGGAAAAGTCCTACAGAAACACCTCTAAACGTGGAGGTGACGTCTTGGCTTGGTTTTCTCATTGGCCATAGCACCCTCCCTCCATCTTTCAGGTACCCGCTCGGAAGGACTAAAGGTAGCATGCCAAGGAACGTCCCCCGACCTCTGTCACAGCCCAGGCCAGCACAGAGACAATCACTCTGCACAGCAAGACAGAGAGCTTCCTTGGTCCTCTGGCCACTATCGGGGTTGCCAGCATCAGCACTCTGGGAGCATGCTACAAATGCAGACTCTCAGGCCCTATTTCAGATCTGCCAACCAGGAGCCTGTACTTTAACAAGGTCTCCAGGTGATTCACAGGCACAGTGAAGCCTCATTAGCAGGTCCTCAGCCTTGGCTGCACACTGTAATAACCGAGGGAGTTTAAAAACCTATGGTGCTCAGGTCCCGCCCAAGACCAATTCAAACCAGTGGGCCTGGCATCAGTACTTTAAAGGTTTCCCATGGGTTTCTTTCTTTTTTTTTTTTGTGAGGAAGATCAGCTCTGAGCTAACATCCATGCTAATCCTCCTCTTTTTGCTGAGAAAGACTGGCTCTGAGCTAACATCTATTGCCAATCTTCCTCCTTTTTTTTCCCCCCTCAAAGCCCCAGTAGATAGTTGTATGTCATAGTTGCACATTCTTCCAGTTGCTGTATGTGGGACGCGGCCTCAGCATAGCCGGAGAAGCGGTGCGTCAGTACACGCCCGGGATCCGAACCCAGGCCGCCAGTAGCGGAGCGTGCGCACTTAACCGCTAAGCCACGGGGACAGCCCTCCCATGGGTTTCTAATGTGCACCCGAGTTTGAGAGCAATCAACAGCAGAGGCACAGAGGTCAACAAACTATGGCTTCCAGGCCAAATCTGACCCACCACCTGTTTTTGTACGGCCTGTGAAATAAGAATTGATTTTACATTTTTAAATGGCTGAAAAAAAATCAGAAGAATATTTCATAGCACATAAAAATTATAGGAAATTCAAATATCAGTCCATAAATAAAGTTTTATACCTGTCTCAGGCATTCATTTACATATTTTCTATGGCTGTTTTCACGCTACAACCCAAAGTTGAGGAATTGCAACAGAGATTTCATTGTCCTTGATGCCCTTCCAAAAAGTTTGTCAACCGATTCAGAGCACTAGCCAGCATGCTTTGGAGCAGACCCTAGGTTCGAAAGTGGCTCCTCCACTTGGTAGCTTTATGAACCTGGGTAAGTGAAGGTGTTGATCTGCTCCCCTCTGTGACACGGGGGTGGTAACACTTCACCTGGCAGTGGTAAGGAATGAACGGGTTAATGCTGGCTGGTTATCACTACCACTTAGATCTACCACCTGCCCAGCCAACATAGGTAACCTCTGGCCCAAAACTCAAACCCCTACTCACAACGCGATTACCACAGACAGCTTCTTACAGCCTCCTGTGTCCCCTACACCTCACCATGTCCTCCTTGGCCCTGCTAGACACTGGCACACCACCAACTCCTGACCACCCTCAGAGCTCAGGGCACATGCCTTTGCAGATGAGGGTTAGCGAAACCTCGCACAAACACCCAGCCCTGCTCTGTCCTCGCATCAGAAAGACACCTTCTGCAATTTGAAGCCCAACTCGGACCTCCAGCATTCCACCAGGTGTTCTCCTCTGTGTCCTTCGTGAGCCGTCATGTTTCTTACTGTCACCAATCCCACCTCACTCCTGCCTGGGCATTTCCAGACCCACACATGCCTCCTTCCTCCTGTCAACTTGGGACACCCTCCCCTCTTGTTCCAGTAGGGCTTTATCCTGCCTGCCTGTCACCCCACCCTTCATTAGAAGTGAGCTCACCAGCCCCCAACACTTCAAGCATCAAGGGTCTCAAAGGTTTCTGTGCAGAGCTTCAGATTCATAGGGCACTTGCCTTCTAGAACTCTCCACCTGGAGATTCCTCAAGATTAGTATATTCATTTGTGGACCTGCTGCCCTCCTCATTCACCCACCCCAGACTACAATGTCCTCAATCAGAATGAATAGTAACAGCGTTCACGGCTGATTCATCAAACAAGACTCCTGAATTTCCCTTGAGGACATCCTTCCTCTTGCACCTAAATCTGTGCCAGGCTGGCCAGCTCCACTCCTGAACATCCTTGTATCCACCCACCTCCACACGGACTGAAACGGTTTCAGCAACCAGTTTCGTGGCTCTAGGTGCTGTCCATCCACCTGCTGACATTCCAGCCCAAAAGGTCTCCTTCCTGCAACCAGAGGGACCACAGCCCAGCCCACAGCTTAGTAGATCCCTGCCACTTGGCAATGCCTTCCATGGCCCCCTTCACCCGGTGCCGATTCTCTTCCCACTTCGTCACTCTCCCAGCAACTCTGCACTTAAGCTACACAATGGACAGTCCCCAGCAGGCTGTGGACACAGCAGGCTCTATCTCTTACCACTTCCACAGGTCACACACTCTCCCTGAAACATTCTCCTCCACCATGCTGGCTTCCAGGCATCCTTTTATGTTTCAGCTGCAATGTTGCTTTCATTCATTCAAGCACTACTCTGCGCTAAGGACAGGAGATAAAACAGTAACAGCAGCCACTATACTGCCCCATAGTGCTCACTTTCTGGGGGGGTCATGTGTTCATTTTTCATCCCCTCACCATATATTGTGTATACCAGGGAGGCAGAGAAAGTATCTTCATTATCATCTTAGGTTAATAAAGCAATGGCTGCTCATTAAAGTCTATGGGTTTCATAACGAAGCAGCACTGTACAACTGTTACAAGCTCTAAACACACACCCATGTGCACAAACATGCATGTACAATTAGGGTCAGGTCCCAATTCTACTTCCTACCTGTGTCTGTAGAAGATGTAAAGAATGGCTTTACATCTTCTAGCTCAGTTTAGACAGTTAAAGACAGGGATAATTTATGCCAACCTCAAAAGGCCATTATGACAACTGAATACAATTTTTCACGATAACATACTGGCAATGTGTCTGACATATGGTGAGCACTCAACAGTGACTACTTTTACATTTTTAATAAACTATTTATTTCAGATATGAAAAACATGGAAAACCAAATACCCACAAGCCCACACAGCTGACTAAAATATTACCCGTACAATCAAAGACTCCATGTAGTCCTCAGAGACTACACTCCCTTTTCTCATCCCACCTGCCCCCTCACGCATCTTTTACGAGCTTCAAGTCGCTTTTTAAACTTCTGAGAAGAATGCTGAGGTAGCCGTCCACTAGGATGGCCCCACGAGCCTCAACCCCTAGTACTCATGCCTCCCTACTGAACAGCGCTTCCGGTGTAGCCAACATACAGTGCAGAAACGGTGGCATATGACTTCCGTAAAAGACATCTGCCCTGCTCTCTCTTAGCTCACCTGCTCTGGGGGAAGGTAGCCTCTATGTTGTGAGGACACTCCAGGAGCCCCATGGAGTGGGCCACATGATGAGGAACTGAGGCCTCCTGCAGGCAATATATGAGTGCAGCACCTTGGAAGAAGATCCTCCCACCCCAGGCAAGCCTTCAGATGACGCAGCCCCAGCCAACATCCTAACTGTGACCTCATGAGAGACCCTTATGCAGAACCACCCAGCTAAGCTGCTCCTGAATTTCTGACCCATAGAAACTGTGAGATAATCAATGCATGTGGTTTTAAGCCACTTAGTTTTGAGGTATCTTATTACGCAACAATAGATAACTGGTACAAATGAATATACAAAAAACTGAGACATAAAGCATTGGTTCAACCCTAATGGATCTGTAAAAATTAGCATCAGGGAAGGTCGAAAAGATTCTTTAAAAATTGGAAACTGAGGCCAAAAACACCTGCAAATGAAATTGCTACTAAGCCTGGGGCCTTTGGTAAACACTTTCTGCGTTCCACTTTACTCTCCGGTAAACTCTCCTAGTGGGGGACCTCCCTCAGCTGCTCTTGCTTCCCTGCATGCAAACAAAATAAGGGCACTAAACTGACCACTGCCAGGGTTGTCCACTATCTCCCCCGCCCAGGTTCGCAGCAGTGGGCCTCCAGCCCCACTGTGGACTTTGTCTTCCAACATACTCCTCACCTGCCCCTACTCCAGCCCCTTTAGCTGTATTCCAGGAACATCACAAAATACACTCGTGAGCTGCAGGTCTAAGCTAAGCCTGCTAGACAAAGACTAACAAGCAAAACATGTTAATGAAGAACTCAACCCATTTCAAGAAGCATAATACTTTTCTTCATTTGCAAGAAGGAAGCTGGAAATTGACCCCAAAAAGGTCAGCAAGTGGCAACCAAAGGTCTTTGACAGTCACAGTCTTATACCAAGTGACCCTAGAACAGAAGGGTCCAGAAAGCAGAAGGGAAGCGCCAACCAACTCTGTCCCTCAAGGGCTGGTCACTGATTAATCAATTAACAACCAAAAGCCATCCTTGGGTGCACCACCACTCTCCAAAAAAGAAAAAACAACCTATAAAGACCCAGATTATTCTACAGGGTAGAATCAGGAAGCAGCTTCCTCAATTCAAGTACAGAATTACTTGTTACAGAACCAGCACAAACACACTTGTAATAACAAAAGAAACAAAACAGTTAAGGGGAAAAAAAAAAAAAAAAAAAAAACAGTTAAGGAATACCCTAACAGTCCCTACTTTTCTGACAACACATAATTACTTAAGACCAATCAGCACCCAAACCCAGCTGAGAGGGAAAGGGCTCATGGACCTCATTCCCCACAGAGACCAGGTATGGTCAGGGCAGGGCATGGCATTTATCTCTAATGTGGAACTGAATTTTAATTGTGCACCTTCAGTTTGGTTTTTGCATTTAGTATGATGCCAATGGCAAAACTGTGCAGAATGGGCTCTGGAGGGACACTCAGAGCCAGAAGAGCTGGGGTGTGGGCTTCAAAGGCTCCAGGGCAACAGCATTGCTCCCTGAGTGCAGAGCACCCCACACATGCTGGCCCTCAGGGCATAGCTTGTCAGCAGTCTCTGGAGTGATAGGCTTCTGTTTGTTCTTAGCATGTTTCTTAGTACTACAAGGGTCATCTGAGAGCAACTTGGGTCCCCAAAAGCAAAGAGAGTGGTCTTTGGAAAGTGGTTTGAATTCTCAGGTATCTACTTTTCTTTTATAATTTCAAACAAGTGGAGAGACCACGGAGAAACATACTACAAACAGGCCAGAGTGTGGCTGGCTGGGCAGTCCTCATCTGTCATAGCCTTGCCCTGCTTCCAAAGTCTGAGAGCATGCAGCTCCTTACCAGGCGTGATGGGAGTCCAGCTGTCAAACACAGGTGGTGTACACTCAGAGCTTACCACTCGCGCTCTCACCCACAGCAGGCCCAATGCAGTAACTGTCCACACTGCTCAGTGCTCTGTACCATTTTAAATCCAACAGTGGCCTCAGCTCCTCCACCAGGTGTCAACACCTCCCTGGGCAGACCTCAAAGCTCCTGGACAGAGGTATGTACCTTCACAGCTACACATTCACTCTTTTGGATGGATGTAGGTAGACAGGAAGGTAAAACTAAATAGTGGGTATGTTGCACTTTTCAAACTTTATATAAGTAATAGGATCTGCATATCCTTCAGCAACTTGCTTTCCTCTTGGACATCCAGTGAGTTCACTTTAATTGCTATCTAGGGTTATGGTGCAGGAACATATAGCAGATTGTCATTCATTTAATAACTTTTTACAGTTTTGAACACTGTGCTGTCTCCTTGGGTGCAAGGGCAAAATTTCTCTAGGGTAAATATCTAGGAGTGAAATTATAAGACAAAAAGAATGCACGCATCTTAGCATTATTCACTACAGCCAAGACATGGAAGCCACCCAAGTGTCCCTTGACTGGTGACCGGATAAAGAAGATGTGGTGTATATATATATATACACACACACCATGGAATACTACACAGCCATAAAAAAAGATAAAATCGTCCCATTTGCAACAACATGGATGGACCTGGAGGGTATTATGTTAAGTGAAATAAGCCAGAGAAAGACAAACAGTGCATGATTTCACTCATATGTGCAAGATAAACCAACACACAGACAGATAGAAGTGTTTGGTGGTTACCAGGGGCTAGCGGGGTGGGGGGTGGGCACAAGAGGTGGAGGGATGCACTTATACGGTGACTGATAAACAATAATGTACAACAAAAATTTCACAATTAAAAAAAAAAAAAGAACTCGCATCTTCAATTTCACTAGATATTGCCAAATTTCTCTTGAAACCAGGTGTAAGACATGATCTTCCAGCAGCCCTGGATGGGGATTCCCACCGCAGCTCATCTTCTTAACCCCTGAGGCACTGGGGTTGTATCTGCTCACCTGGTGGCTGTGAAGTACTACCTCATTGTGATTGTGGCGCACAGTTCCCTGGCTGCTGGTGAGGTTGAGCAGCATCTCTTCATGGACTCGTTGGCCATCCAGGCTCTCCTGTAAATGGTCATTTTCATAGCCTTCCCCTTTTTTCCTTTGGAATTGTTTGAGCTCTGTACACATAGCTCGTCCTTTCATTTTGTTCATGGTGTCCTTGGTACATAAATTTTCATTTAACATAGTTCCTTTACGGTCTGTGATCAGTTTGGCTTAAGAAATGCTCCCCTCTCCCAGAGCCACAAAGTTCTTCTCAGCAGTAGCTGAGTTCTGAAATCGCTAGTGTGGTCCCAGTGCCTGTCCTGAGCAGCCAGCCCGCCCAGCTGGCCTGCAGGCCTTTCCCGTCTGTTTCCACACACTTGAGAGTCTGCTTCCGGTCTCTGTTCTGGGCAGTATCACTGCCCTGAATGTCCCTGGCACAAATGTCACTGTTTTCCACAACAGAATGTCCTATGTGGTAGGGCAAGTCTTCAGGCCCAGCTTCTCTTCAAATGTGGCTATGTTAGCAACCACTCAAAAAGTGCAAAGAAATTCCCGTTGAGAATTTTATTAGAATTATACTAAATTGATAGTTAACATAGGGGAAATTGACAACTTCAACTTCCGAATACTGAACCCTCCTATATGTGAATATAATATTTCTATTTATTTAGGTGTGCTAAAATATCCAAGTTATTTTTCTCCGAAGTTATACATATTTTGTTATATTTATTCCTTGATACCTTGTATTTCTGTTGCTATCATAAATGATATCTTTAATACTATCTTTCCTTTTTGTTGCTGCTCTTGTATACTGATCTTATATCCGCCAATCCTGGTGACTCTTATTGAGTCTGAAGATTTTCTGTAGATTATCTTGAGTTTTCTACATAGACCTCTGCAAACAACTACAGCTTTATTTCTTCCTTTACAATTATGCTTTTTTTATTTCTTTTTCTTATCTTATTATACTGGCTAGTATTTTCACTACAACATTTAATATAAGTGGTGACAGAAAGGCATCCTGTCTTGTTCATGATTTTAAAGAGAATTCTTCTAAAGTTTCATTAAGTATGATGCTTGCTGAAAGTTTCTGATAGATACCATTCAACAGATTAAGGACGTTCCCTTTTAACACTGGCTTGTTAACTTTGTATCAAAGAGCAATGAATTTTATCAAATGCCTTTTCTCCATCTATTGAGATGATCTTTTTTTTTTTTTTTGGTGAGGAAGATCAGCCCTGAACTAACATCCATGCCAATCCTCCTCTTTCTGTTGAGGAAGACTGACCCTGAGCTAACATCCGTGCCCATCTTCCTCCACTTTATGTGGGACACTGCCACAGCATGGCCTGACAAGCAGTGCATCGGTGCGTGCCCAGGATCCGAACCTGGGCCGCCAGCAGCAGAGCACGTACACTTAACTGCTACGCCACGGGGCCGGCCCTGAGATGATCATTTAATCTGCGACATAGTGAATCACAATAATAGATTTTCTAACATCATACCACCGTAGCACTCTTGAGAAAAGCCCTACCAACCCACTCACTTCACGTAATAGTGAATGTAACCAAAAATAGGGGCCTAATCCCTTCAGTTCTTCACAATGGAATCAAGCCTTTATGATGTACTAACAGATTGTGTATTCTACAACAACGATTAAGAAAATTATTCAAATGTTTTAATCATTAATATATTACTGTCTTTTTAAATATCACAGAAATGAGTGCTCAATATATTCAGTGCTAGTGGATACATGAGGTTTTGTAAATAGGTACACCCCATACTGGTAGCTTCAGAACAGCCTCCTGGAGAAGATGCTAACCCAAGGCCAGATGTTAAGGATAAGGCGAGCTTCCAGCAAAGGGAGCCCATTGAAATCCACTTCCCACTGTCCGTGGTGTCTTCTCATCCGCACTGAGAGGAACATTTTAGTAACCCAGAGTGCAAAGGCAAGTATCGTTGCCCCCAAGGGCTAAAATGACTGTTCCCTAACAATACTTACTTAGATCTAAAATCTACAGAAGGCTCACTAAAACCTGTGCGGATAATGCTGAGAAACAGATGATTCTGCACTGAAGGGATGTTCCTCAAATTCAGAAACTCCCCTGAATGAAAACAAAACAACTTAGAAGCCATCACAGTACCGACCTCGTCCCTGTGCTTTTGACAGAAGACCAAAAACTGGGATGCTGCATCTCCCTTCCTGCTCCGCGGAGTGGAGGCTGTGGCCTTCTTCCTCCCAGAAGGAGATCCTACTCCTCTCTTGGGGTCAGCCTCTGCTGTCTTTTGGGGAGTAGTCTTTACTGTCCCGGGGTCACTTTCTTGGTTTTCAGCAGAGCTAAGCAGCTTGGCTCTCCGCCTCCTCTTGATGGGAATGCCCTCTTCTCTCATGGACTTGAGGGTATAAGCAGCTTCTTCAATGACTCCTGAGGATTCCACCATTTCTCCTGGAGACTCCACAGCAATGCCTGCCTCCTTAGCTACATGAGGGTTGAGACGAAGCTGGTCCCCCACATAGAGGAAGGTGAACTTCGCTTTCCGCTCCTCCACTGACATGCTTGCAGCTTCTTCTGCTTGAATGATGCCCATTTCCCACTGGGCCCTCAATTTCCCTGAAATCGGTTTCAACAGCTAAAAAGAAAAACATAAGACACTGTAAATTTCATTATACAAACATAAAAGTTAACCCACTTTAAAGAAGGATACTTTCAGAATTTCAGATAAATTTAGAAATCAAAACCTATAATAACCAATTAACTTGAAGGTTTCAGACAGAATTCAGCCCAATATAATAACTCTACTGTTTCTTTAAACTAAAAATCAATTCCAATCACATTTAACTAATGTAATATATATATACTAATATATGATATATATTATATATAATATTACATATATTTATATATATAAAGGAAAATAAAAATTATAAAACAAATTATCTCTGGGAGTTATCAAACGAGTAAAAAGAATCAATTGTGTCTCTAAAGAAACTTGTCATATTTTATAACACAGCATACTTGGGCACAAATAAACAATGACAGACATAGAAGCCATTACAGTATTTCAAGAACCAAAAGTTCAAAACAAGATAAATAATAAGAATGAAAATAAAAGTTTTGGTCTAAAATTGTACTTAAGGAACATCTATCACCTTAATTTTCTCAGCTTTCGTGGGTGCCTGCTTGGCACTTTCCTGGCATAATTTTTCAAACTGTCCTTCTCCTTCAAAAGCTACAAGGCTCTTCTCAAATATCCAAGCTCTTTCTGGGGCATCACCAAAGAACTGTACGTGATACTGGCGTGCACTCTTTTTCTGACCTAGTTTTTAAAATAAAATGTTAGAACTTGAAAGTTAGAATTTGGGATGAAATCAGGCAAATCTATCAATAATTACTGATATGAAGTTGGGAGCTGCTTTGAAATTGTTTTACTTGGTGCTGTTTGCATCCGTCAACCTCAGAACAAATCCTACTCTTTTTATCCCCACCATGCTCCTTGCCAATGAGGGAAACGCATTTACGATAGACTCAGACAAGGTTCAAAACTGACTGGGAAAGAAAGCTGACTAAACACACTCCTTTATCTTCTCCCTTCCAAGATCCATGTAAAAAGATAAACAGATAACACAAGAGAGGACATCAGCAAAAAGGCCATTCAACAAAGAGGGGACCAGGCAGCAGCGAAGGGACACAGAGGGGTGTCAGATAGCCTGGGTTCAAATCCCAGCCCCACTACCTACCAGCTGGTCAGCCTTAGGCTGGCCACTCACTAACAGTGCTCAGAGTGGGAATAAGGAGACCGATGACCTCCACGCCTCCAAGGGCAGGCATGAGGCCACAGAGTATCCCCTCAGATGTCTACTGCTGTTACTCTTAGCAGAAAAGAAGAAGCCACATCCTATAGTGCAGCCAGAAGGGACCTGGGTGAGGAAAGAGATACTTGGTCCCAAAACCCAAGAGAGGGGGTACCAGATTCGGCTGAGGTGGAGTGAGGCTGAAAACAAGTAAGCTGGTTACAAGATCAGATCTCTGTGCCAAGTAGGGGAGAAAGGGAGATGTCCACCAGGGAATTACCAGTCCCTGTTCCCTCTTACAGAACGCTGGCCACGAGAAATCAAAGAACACTTCCTAGAGAACTGACACACCCCAGAGGAAAAACCTCTTCACTGAGGCTTTTGAAGATTCCCCCAACTAAGTGGCCAATGGCCAGCCAGACTCTTAAATAAGCTCTCAGTCTCCCCACAACTGGGCTACAGGCAGCTCTGTGTGCTGCCCTCTCAAACGTAAGCCCAGGACCAAGGACCCCCGGACCCAGGGAAGTCTCTAGCATGAACAATTCCAAAATACACAGAAATAAACAGTCTCTGGAGGGCCATGGACACAATACCAGGAAGAGATGACACTCGACAAAGAAAAAGAAAGCGCTATTAGAAATTTTAAAATACAATTATGAAAATAAAGTTCAATGAGAAAGCTTGGAGGGTAATTTAAGAAATCTCCCAGAAAGAAGAAAAAGATTAAGATGCAAAGCATCTACTCCCATTAAGAAATCTATAGGATTAATCCAGGAGGTACAATACCCAAATAACTGGTCTTCTAGAGAGAAACAGAGAAACTCATCCAAGAATTAGCAACACAGGAACATGTCTCAGAACTAAAACACCCCTAAGTGCCTCATCCAACACCCACACCAGGGCACATCTTTGAGACATGCAAGCTGCTGGGGGAAGGGAAGAGGACAACTTCCATGTTAATGGAACGAGAAAGAGAATGACAGAGTACTTCAAGGGCAACTCTGAAAGGAAATGAAGTAGGACATTCAAAGAAGGAAATGCTGGAAGGAAATGAAGTAATATATTCAAAATTCTGAGAATTACTATTTTCAACATAAAATTCTATACCCAGCCAAACCACCAATCAAGTGTGAGGATAGAGAAGGAGCATCCTCCAAACTACAGGGACTCAAATTTACCTCCCATACACACTTTCTTAGGATGCCAAAAATGTACTCCAGCAAAAAAGGAAAACTGATCAAGAAAGAGCACAGTATGGAACCACAACACACAATTATGTAACTCAGGAAAGAGCCTTAAAGGAAATCTAAGATTATTGTTATGCAAAAGGTTAAGAGTATCAGCAATACAGACTGAAGCAGGAAAAAGGAAGATTCTAGAAGAGAGCTCCAGGGGAAGAAAAGATGAGAGAAAAGGATTCTTCCACACTGAAAAAAAATCTGGGCAGCAAAGAGAGAGGGTTAAGAGATGAGATCAAAGGAGTAGAATAGGAAAATGGGAATCAAACACAGCTTTTCATTTTTTTCCCCAATAGGAGAAACTAACTATATAATAGGATGAGTTTTAAGGACAGAGAAATGAATACTTGAAAAAAATTAAGGCTTTATGAACAGCAAAGTATATGATTTAAAAAGAAAGGCAATAATTAACTCCCGGGGAAAAAAAAAGTTGTACAAGAAAGAAAATGCAATTACAGAATACAACTTGGTTTTTCACTGTATGATATGTACATAGTCAAAATTATGTAAACACTTACGTTTGATGTAATAAAAACAGTGAGTTAATTATATGGGGAGGGTGAGAGGGGAAGAAAAGGAAATGATTGAAGAGATCAATAATTTTTCATAATAAAAAGTCAGCAGAAAACATCTAAATGATAAATCAAAAAATAGTAGTTAAAACTAGAAGAAAATGGGGGCTGGCCCGGCGGCACAAGTGGTTAAGTGTGCGCACTCTGCTTTGGCGGCCTGGGTTTGCAGGTTGGGATCCCGGGCGTGCACCGACGCACCACTTGTCAAGCCACGCTGTGGCGGCGTCCCATATAAAATAGAGGAAGATGGGTACGGAGATTAGCCCTGGGCCAATCTTCCTCAGCAAAAAAGAGGAAGATCGGCAACAGATGTTAGCTCGGGGCTGATCTTCCTCACACACACAAAAAAAACTAGAAGAAAATGTTGAAAGAGTTAAAAATACAGTAGTGCCCCCATATCTGTGGGTGGATATGTTCCAAGAACCCCCAGTGGATGCCTGAAAAAGTGGATAGTACCAAACCCTATGTCCACTATGTTTTTTCTATACATATATACCTATGATAAAGTTTAATTTATAAATTAGGCACAGTAAGAGATTAACAACAATAACTAATAATAAAATAGAACAATTATAACAATATACTGTAACAAAAGTTACCAAAGATCTTAGCAACCTCAGCATACAGTTTTTTTTCTTTCCTTATTAAGTCAAGAACTTTCACCTTTTCACTTAAAGGAAACACTTTACCGCTTCTCTTCGGCATATCCAAATCGCCAGTATCACTACTCTTGCCCTTTGGGCCATTATTAAGTAGGATAAGGGTTACTTGAACACAAGCACTGCGATACAGCAACAGTCAACACGGTAACTGAGAAGGCTACTAAATGACTAACAGGCAGGTAGCATATACAGCATGGATCCACTGGACGCCCAGGGCAGCACTGAGTGAGATTTCACCACCCAACCCTGAAAGGTGCGCAATTTAAAACTTGTCAATTGTTTGTTTCCGGAATTTTCCATTTAATATTTTTGGATCACAGTTGACCACTGATAACTGAAATCACACTGTGCAAAGTGAAACTTTGGATAAGGAGGGCCTACTATAATTACCTCTGGGGAGGGGAGGAGACTATTTTTCACTATTAACCTCTCAGTACAATTTGACTTGTTTATAAGTATGTATACTTCTTTGATTTTAAAACAGCTAAGATTCAAAAATAGGTCATAGGATTTGTGACTTTTTCCATTACTTTAATACTTTGAAAGAACTTTCCTTGGTCATGAAAATCAATATAGATATATGTCACAGCATTTGTATAATAAAGAAAATATGTTACAGTACATATGATGAAATAATATGAACTTATTTTTTATAAATAGTTAATGACACAGAAAAATCCTCCTTACATGTCAGGTGGAAAAAAAGCAGGGAAGAATACTATAGTCTAATCTCCAATCTGTAAAATAAATGTAACATTTTTTAAGTTCTTTCCTGCCTAGAAATTTGCTAACAGTGTAACCCAATTTTCTCCTATTTTCATGGGTTTCTTTAATCCATATAAATTTTATTTTGGTCCAAGTTGAGGATGAATACCTCATTGTTTTATTTTACCACATAATTAACCAGTTGTCCCAGCACCACTTATTAGTAATCCTTCCTTTCTTCCTGGCTGATTTCTGATGTTCATTAATCACAGTTGGTATGAATATATTTGTCATTGACTCCTCGACCCACACCCCCTTCTAAGAGAACCTGGCCTCCGCCAAGAGCCCAGGTACCTAATTTTGCACTATGTTCCTTTCCTCCCCATTATGGCCCATTAGACTCAAGGTGGCTCCTGACCCTCTGGGCTAGATCGAGCCAGAGTTTCTCTCCAGATTTTGTGAAGCCTTTGAGTTGACAAGCAGCCATTCATGCATGCAGAATGGACCGACCCCACAAAGAGACAAGGCTGCCCAGAGCTGAAGCTCTAGGGTGGAAAAGAAGCAATAAAAAAGTAGATAAAGCCAAGTGTCTACAGAAGCAAGAACAGAGCACAGGAACAAAGTCACAAGGACATGAGACCACAGAGTTCCATGGGAAACAAAGGACAAGCATCATTATGCCTGAGTTTCCAGGTTCAGTCCCTGGCGGGCACCAGAACCCCAAAATAGGTAACACAGAAACTGATAAAACTGTAAGTAGAAAAAGGCACATCCACTATCACAGAGATTTTAACACACCTCTCTTAGCTGATAGAACAAGCAAAAAAGAAAAAAAACAGTAATGAGATGATACTACAAAATAACCCGAGACATGAGAAAGCCAGATTATCTGAATATTTTTAGAAAATACTGGAATTTAGAAATAAAGCAATGAGGGTTCCCTTCCATAACACAGAAAAAGTGACAACAAAAATCTCCACAACAGAAAATTACTTGATTCCAGACCCTAGTTATCTAAAGAGAAGACTAGTAGGATCCAGGTGTGCTAGGGAGATGGTGAAGCTCCCAGATGCAACAGAATCCAGTTTTCTTCATAGTATAATATCTGAAACATACATTTATCTTCTGTTTCCAACTTAAACGGTCAGGCCTCAAAGCTGCTAGTCCATCTAGAAGCCCTGGTAGGCAGCATCCCAGACAAGTTCTGCTGCTATATATTACAAAAATGCTATTAAGACTTTCATTGGGGCTGGTCCAGTGGCGTAGTGGTTAAGTTCATGCATTCTGCTTAGGTGGCCCAAGGTTTGTGGGTTCGGATCCAGGGCACGGACCTACAAACAGCTCGTCA